CTTTTCTAATTTACCTTTTTCACAGCGCTTTGCAAATTCTTGTCTTGCCATATGCTGTACAGCAGCAGCGAGGCTGCGCTGCTTCCCTTGGTAAGTTTCCTAAAAAGAAAAGAAGTCATCATCAGTCACAGAAATACGCTGAAGCTTGCCACCTCTGCAGATGATATTTAGAAAAACACTCACTTGTCTTCACTGAGGTCAATTAGCGACTGAATAACGGCATTATTGATGACCTTCTTGCTGGTGTCAGTGTTTGCTGACATCAGTCGTACCACTGTGTTGCAAGCTGCTGCTATAGACTCGTCAGAATTCCCCAACTGACTGGGCCCACCCTGCAGGAGTTCTCCGAGCTGAGGCAAGATCTGCTTTGCTAAAAGAAAACAGCAACTCAATTTTATGTGGATAAACTTGCATATCTGAAAACTGGATAGTCAAAGTCTTTCGTGCGCTATCATTAGCCTACTTCTTACCCATGGTGCCTTGCAAACTGCCGGTCCGAGACATGTTACCCAACAAGGACAAAGCAGTGTTCTGAAGCTTCGGGTTCGATGGCTTCAGCAGAGGTCCAAACTGCCTCAGATCTCTGGACTTACTAACCAAAATTTGGCTCACAGCATCTGACCCCTGAAATGGTTACAAAGAGGAATTTATTTAATTTTTGTGTTTATTTAACACAGGGGAGAAAAACATCAACAACACCCACAGTGGAATTAAGGAAAAGGCAATTTGCTGAAAACTTTCTTAACCTCCTAGGACCTGCGTCCACATATGTGGACGTCACATTTTGGGTTATTTAGACTAAAATACTCAATTTTGCTCTACAAAGGCCTGATATCCTCTTACGAGGACATTATGCTGCTACTGTTCTATCAAACCTTTAAATGAATATCCTCATATGTGGCTCTCATGTTTCTTAGAAACTAAAATTAGGTAAAAAAATAAATCTGGTAATTCTTTGTTTTTACATTCATCAGGCCCCAATCAGCCCAAATATCAAAGGGAAATTAAAAATGTTGCCGTGGAAGAGTTCAGGTCTTAGGAGGTTAGAAATATGCGATTTATGTCAAAGAACAGGCGCTTTTCTTCACTTCAAAATGTTTAGTAGTGTCTGTAACCATGTGCCATTTTCACACATGAACTCTAGACAGTGTTGGGACACTGGCCTCAGCTGCTCTTTGCCTCTGAAGGAAACATCCTGTTTGGTTAAGGCCAGTGTGGAGGAGGCTGGATCGCCACTCACTGTGAATTCTCCAGACATATTCCCACACTGACACGTTATACAGAATCTGCACTAAGGAGCTGGCAGACGAAAGTTTCTTAAACACTGCTGTCACCAGTTAATCGTGACTAATAACTGGAATATAGCTTTCTTCACTTTTAACACAACAAAACCACACATCGCTGTATATGGGACAATAACTGCAAGAGGTTGAACAAGATTCACCTTTAACTTGTGAGGCAGAAAAGAAAATGATAAGACAGGACAAAGGGGAAAAACAGACCCTTAGAACTGAAGAAGAAACTTTTCAAAAGAGTTAAAGAATGATATCGATTGTAGTAAAAATGTCACGTGGGTTTTACAACCACAGGGCAACTTGCCATTTGTTGCATGTACAGTTTCTTTTAAAAGGATCAGAAAAACATGCATGTATATATGTATAAATATGCTCAATAGCCCATTACATCATGTTGTGACGGTTAACTAAC